CTTGTTTTTACACACACATACAGGTCAATTATTAATTGCTTCTTTGAATCCCATTATATATATATTCTCCCATGCACATATGTATGAAAGAAATGACATTAATCTACCTCTTAATATAGCCAAATTACAAAACCAAATTAAACTTCTTTCTTTCATATAATGTGAAAAAGAAGAAAAATATTGCATGCTTAATATAAAAAGTTACAGCTTTTTGGAGTTTGGGTCAGGAAGGGAAAGAGAAAAAGAAAAAGTTACATTCTGTTTGATTGCTGCTCTGTTTGATATTCAATGTGTTAGAACTCACACGAATTGCCGGACAGACCACATTATGCTGTTCATTTGTTTTTTTTTTTTTTTTTTTTGGTTTTGTTTTCAATCTTTTTTTTTTGGTTTTGTTTTCAGTCTGATCAATAGATTATTTTTCACAGTATTATTGTGATTTCTGATTCTTTTGGTGCTTTGTATTCGAGTTGATGAGCATGTATTCAATCTCTGGGTATGCCTGAATATATATATATATATATATATATATATATATATATATATATATATATATATATATATATATATATATATATATATATATATATATATATATATATATATTATTTGTCTTGTTACTTGATTATTTTTAAGCGACATGAATTTATTTTTCTTGTCACTTGACTGTTTTGTAGCATTGAAATGGACAAAGAATGGATGTCAAAAGCTAGACTATGTTATGAATATGAGGTTGGAGTAAAATCTTTTTTAGAATTTGCTAAAAAAAATGTCGTTGATCCTAATTCAATATCATGCCCACGTGCAATATGTGGCAACCTAAGGAAGCAACCTATTGATACTATAAGGGCACACTTGTACCGTAATGGAATGGATGCAACGTATGTGTCATGGATATGGCACGGGGAGAAGGCCACGTTTAACAACTCAATAGATGAGGGAAGTCAAATTAGGGGAGAGGAGCAGATGCTTTTTGATGAAAACCCTATAGATATGGTAAATGCTGCTTATGACGAATACGTTGAGGATCCCAAAAAATTTAGTAAATTACTAGAAGATGCAGAGAAACCGCTATACGCTGGATGCACTACGTTTACAAAACTATCAGCGGTAGTGAAGTTATATAACTTGAAGGCAAAATATAGTTGGAGCGACGCAAGTTTTACGGACCTTCTAGATTTGTTTGTAAAAATGCTTCCAACTGACAACGTACTGCCTTCTTCTTTATACGACGCAAAGAGAAGCTTGGTTGCATTGGGAATGGACTATGATAAAATACATGCGTGTCCCAATGACTGTATCTTATATCGGAAGGAGAATGCAAACTGTACTAATTGCCCTACTTGTGGAACTTCAAGGTGGAAGATAGGCAAGAATTCTAAGATATCCATAGGAGTTCCTGCAGAGGTGTTATGGTACTTTCCACCTATACCAAGATTTCAAAGAATGTTTCGGAACAAGGATATCTCTAAGGAGTTAACTTGGCATAGAGATAATAAAGTTTGTGATGGTTACTTGCGTCATCCAGCTGATGCACCTTGTTGGAGAACAGTAGATGATATGTGGCCAGATTTTGCTAATGAGCCAAGAAATCTTAGATTGGCTTTATCTGCAGACGGGATAAATCCCCATAGTGTAATGAATTCTACATATAGTTGTTGGCCAGTCATCATGATTACATACAATCTGCCTCCTTGGATGTGCATGAAGCGAAAATTCATGATGCTCAGTATGTTGATTTCTGGCCCTAAACAACCCGGGAATGACATTGATGTTTATTTGGCACCTTTGATTGACGATTTAAAAGTTTTATGGGAAGAAGGTATAGTAGCATACGATGCATACCGACAGGAAAAATTTGTCCTTAAAGCTGTTTTACTTTGGACGATCAATGATTTCCCAGCATATGGGAACTTATCAGGTTGCACTGTCAAAGGATATCATGCATGTCCTATATGTGGGGAGAATACATATGCCAAGAGGTTGAAGCATAGTAAGAAAATGGCATTCACAGGACATAGAAGATTTTTATGTAAAGCTCATCCTTATCGAAGGCAAAAGAAGGCATTTGATGGTCAGCAAGAATTCGACATAGCACCCAAACCATTGAGTGGGTATGATGTTCTGAAAACAGTTGAGGGGATCAATTGTTGTTGGGGAAAAAAGAGTGGCAAGGTAAATGCTAAAAGAAAAAATACTGAATCATGTTGGAAAAAGAAATCAATTTTCTTTGAGCTTGAGTATTGGAAGCATTTGCATGTTCGGCATGTTCTTGATGTCATGCACATTGAGAAGAATGTGTGTGAAAGTATTATTGGCACATTACTTGACATCCCAGGAAAAACCAAAGATGGGGTAGCTGCTCGACTAGACCTTGTGGAAATGAATGTGAGAATGGAGTTGGCACCAAAACAAGGGGAGAAGAAAACGTTTTTGCCACCTGCTTGCTATACACTAAGTAAAGAGGAGAAAAAGAAAGTTTGTAACTCTTTGTTACATATGAAAGTCCCAACAGGCTATTCATCTAATGTCAGAAACCTAGTCAATGTGAAGGAGTTGAAACTTGTTGGTCTTAAATCTCACGATTGTCACACTTTCATGCAACAGTTGCTTCCAGTTGCTATTCGAGGTGTGTTGCCCAAACATGTTAGGTATGCTATCACTCGGTTGTGCTTCTTTTTTAATGTTATATGTAGCAAAGTGATAGATCCCTCAAAGTTAGATGCGCTACAAGATGAGATTGTGACAACGTTGTGTTTGCTGGAAAAGTACTTTCCTCCTTCATTTTTTGATATAATGGTTCACTTAACTGTTCATCTTGTGAGGGAGGTGAAATTGTGTGGACCGGTGTGGTATAGATGGATGTACCCATTTGAAGGATATATGAAAATCTTGAAAGGTTATGTGCGAAATCGCAATCGACCAGAAGGTTGTATAGCCGAGTCTTATATTTCTGAAGAAGCTATAGAATTTTGCTCAGAGTATTTGTCTAACGTACAAACAATTGGGAACCGATCTACATTTCATGAAGTGGTGCGTACTCGGCCTTTATCAGGTGCTCAAGTGCAATCCATTAGCCAAGCAGAGTGGGAGCAATCACATCGTTATATTTTGGCAAACGATGTAGAAATAGACCAATATGCCAAGTAATTTTTCCAACTCTGATAAACTTCGAATAGATTGTTTATATATATTTTACTGGTTAATTGACTTTGGTAAAATACCGTTGCTTAGGGAACACAAGGCACATTTGAAGGCTACAATGCGTGGTAAAGTTAGGACAGAGAAGGGGCTACTTGTTCAGCATAACCGCACATTTATTAATTGGTTACGTGATCGTGTAAGTTGTATAACTAGGACTAGTACAACGGAAAAAAAAGTCACCGGTTTTATTATCATATACTAATTTTAGTGTTATCATTTTTAGGTTGGACGAGCAATAAATGATTCCACCCATGAAATATCAGAAAGATTAAAATGGTTGGCCCATGGTCCTCGGAACCAAGTGTTAAAATATTCTGGTTATTTAATTGAAGGAGTTACTTTTCATACCAAAGATCGTGATAATTTGCGAGCTGTCCAAAACTCAGGAGTAAGCTTAGTTGCAAATATAATGCAAGTTTCCAGTGCAAAGGATAAGAACCCCGTTGAGTCAGATATGGTATTTTATGGAGTTATTGAAGAAATATGGGAGCTTGATTACCATAACTTTCGAGTTCCTGTGTTCAAATGCAATTGGGTTGAGAATAACAATGGTATTAAAGTAGACGATCTTGGTTTCAAATTAGTAAACCTCAATAGGATTGGATTCAAATCTGATTCTTTTATCTTGTGTAGTCAAGCTAAGCAAGTATTTTATATTCAAGACCCTCAAGATCCTAGATGGTCTGTCGTGCTTGCAACTCCTACTCGGGATTACTTTGAAGATGGGACTGAGATGGATGAAACAATAATCCATCATCAATGCTTTACGAATGGAATGCCATCTATGAATGTTGACGATAAAGATGAGAGTGAACCGCCATGCATTCGAGAAGATTGTGATGGGACTTGGGTTGAGAATAAGAACTCCTAGCTAGTTAGTGTATAACTTTGCAAACCTTATATTTTAAATTTGACTTATGTATGTGTTCTTAAATGTTTCTTAGGTTCAATGCCTTCAATTTTTTCGGCACCCAACTTTTGAAAATGAATTCAAACATTTCTAATAATTTTGTTTTTATATATTTGTGATTTTTAGGTTTGCGGGCTTATGGCTGTTGGAAGAAAGAAAAAAACTGGTCATCAAGAGCAAAAGGAACAAGAAGTACATGGTGATGAAGAATACAATGGAAAAGAGGTGCAGGTGGATGAGGAAGAAAAAATGTCAGGTTCTGTAGATACTTCATCAACGAGGAGCACTCGAGGTCGTACCCAAATGCATAAGCTTGCTATGCAAAGGGTACAAGGAGTGAAGAAAGCAGTACAGTTCAATGCTTTGGTACAACCGATTGGAGAAAGTGCGGCAGAATTGCAAAGTTACATTGGTGTCCTTGCAAGAGAAAAGGTCAAGTTGAATTTTAAGACATGGAAACATGTGCCACAAGATATTAAAGAAAAGATATGGGATGCTGTTAATGTAAGCAAATTCTCATTCTTTTATTTAGCTTGTATTAATTGTGATATTTAACATATTAGTCTTTGTGCACGACGAAGATGTGACTCCTTTTTGTCAATTGATGCCAATATCGTACACGTGTATTGCTGTCTACATATGGTATGATTTAATATATATTTCGAGTCAATTTGATAACTTATCACTTCTATGCTTTGTTCTTCTAATTCAGTTTCCGTTCAAATGTTAGGTATTTGTATAACAAGATGATGGAAGAGAACAAGCTTGACAAATTCAGATTTATGCAGCCAAGTGTCGTAGGGCATCTGGCAACGAAAAGAACAGATACAAATTTTCTAGAAAATCAATTGGAAAAGAGGGCACGAGCTTTAGCAAACAGACTGCTGGACATTCCAAGTGATGCAACACTTTTGGTGCCATGTAATATAGGGTAAGAATGGTTACAATTTACTTTCAATTGCATATATTGTGTTGATGTAATATATAATTATGTGTTTGTGTGTGCATAGCTTCCATTGGATTCTGACAGTTATCAACATCACTAAGGACTTAGTTTATGTGTGGGACCCTCTTAATCATCGCATTCGCGATGATGATTGGAAGCGTGTTGTAGAAATGTAAGTTTTTATTTTTTATTTTTTTTATTTTCATTCTTTCGATTTATTATTACATAATCTGAATAATCAAACATATATATATATATATATATATATATATATATATATATATATATATATATATATATATATATATATACATATGAAGGGCTATTAAAATGGTTCATGCATCCACTACGAATGCAAAGAAAGGACGCAGTAAAACTACTTGGGAAATTGTCAAGGTAATTTCATATTTTTAACTATATAAGTGTTTGTATATAGCTAAATTGTAATGCAAATATTATTTAACATTTGTAGGCTCCTCGTCAACCGGATAGTAACCAATGCGGTTTCTTTGTCATGGCGTACATGAAAACTTTAATTGAGAATATGCCAGACTTCGATGATAAAAATTCTGTTCAAGCACTGGTATTACATTCCATTTCTACTCTCTCTTCCTTGTTTCTCGCTGTTATTTAATTGCAGAATGGTTCTAGGTTTTAATGCTTTGTTAGCTTGGGTTTAAGCCTCTCTCTTTTTCACTTGATTTGGACAGTTATTGATGATAAATTTGATTTTTATTTTTTATATTTTAGAATAAGTTTGTTGCTCTGAAATTTGGGTGTAGAATGCGTGTGAAAGCTCGAAATTTTGGGCATTTTAGTGCTTGATGTATTGCTTTTTCAAGTGTCTTTCTTTACTTGTTGGCTACACTTGTTATGATTCTCTTTAGGAAACTCATTATCTTGTTATGAACACCTTGAGTATGAATGTGGTGAGAGTAAGAGGGCAGTTTCATTTCATTGCAAATTATTTATATCTATACTAATTTATTTTCTTACTTTTTACATGTAGTTTCAACAAGTTGATCATGACAAAGAGGTTATTGATCTGGTGCGATCTGAATGGGCCGATATTCTATCAAGTCATATAGAGTAGGTATGATTTGGTCATTCGAACGTTGTGATCATCTAGACTTGAATTGGTTCAGGGAATTGTTTTTTGTGTAGTAGTATTATGACTTGAATGATAATTAGAATTGGTCATGGAAGTCTTTTTACTTGTTATTTTGAACCTTATTAGATTGTGCACAATTATGTAACTACACTTTGCAATTTATGGTGAATGGATAAATTATTTTTTTATACGATTATAATTTAAGCAGGTGATAAACGGTTAAAAACCGTTGTCTATTTTACAATAGACAACAGTTAGAAACCGTTGACTTTTCTACAAAAGACAACAGTTTATGGGTGTTTCAACAACACCCAATAGACAACGGTTTATAACTATTGTCTTTTAAAGAAAAGACAACAGTTAAAAACCGTTGTCTATGTACGTGACTTTTAACAACACTGGTTTCAACAACGCTTAATAGACAACGGTTAAAAAACCGTTGTCGTTGGTAGAAAAGACAACGGTTAATAACCGTTGTCTATTGCGTGACTTTTAACAACACCGGTTTCAACAACACTAAATAGACAACGGTTAAAAAACCGTTGTTGTTGGTAGAATAGACAACGGTTAATAACCGTTGTCTATTGCGTGACTTTTAACAACACCGGTTTCAACAACACTAAATAGACAACGGTTAAAAAACCGTTGTCGTTGGTAGAAAAGACAACGGTTAATAACCGTTGTCTATTGCGTGACTTTTAACAACACCGGTTTCAACAACACTAAATAGACAACGGTTTAAAAACCGTTGTCGTTGGTAGAAAAGACAACGGTTAATAACCGTTGTCTATTGCGTGACTTTTAACAACACCGGTTTCAACAACACTTAATAGACAACGGTTAAAAAACCGTTGTCGTTGGTAGAAAAGACAACGGTTAAAAAACCGTTGTCTATGGCAGGACCTACAACAACACCGGCTTCAACAACAGAAAGTATACCCCTACGACAACGGTTAATAACCGTTGTCTATGTGCATTTTTCTTGTAGTGAACGTAAACCACAGATCTGAATGTGGTTCTAGAAATTCAGGTAGGGAGGTGAACAAATCAAATATTTTAAATTCGATTCGTGATTCGAATTCGTATATCTCGATTCAAATTCGAAAACATATTTCAATTCGATTCGAATTTGAATATGAATTAGAGTCTGTTCGATTCTAGTATTCAATATATATATATATATATATATATATATATATATATATATATATATATATGTATATATATATATATATATGTATGTATATATATATATATATGTTAGTATAAGTTATTATTATGTATTGTGATGTGGCTTACCTAGTCATAGGCCTATTAGTTAGGTTCCTTTCCTGATTGTATTTATTGTACGCTCATTATCTGGTATCAGTTAGCCAGTTAGGACTCTCTCTCCTCCCACATCGTCGATTCTCTCTCTTTATTTTCGACCATGTCGCAGAGCTCCAGCGAGCGTACTCTCACCGCCACCACCGTTTCTTCCCCAAACACTAACCCAAATTCCCTAAATAGTGCACACCATTTTGTGTCACTAAAGCTTACCAATCGTAATTACTTGTTTTGGAGGACGCAGCTTATCCCGTTCCTTCGCAGACAAGGATTACTGGGGTACGTAGATGGAGGACATCCGTGCCTGTCGCCGGTTTTGGAGATTCCCGCCGGCAGCAACTCAGAAGACGCCGCCTCCACGACGACCAACTCCTCCTACGCCGCGTGGGTGCTACAGGACGCCTCTATCCTATCCCTCCTCATTTCATCCATGTCCGAGGAGTTCATGTATTTGGCCGTCGGCCATACCACCTCGCGTGGTGTGTGGAAAGCGGCGGAAACAGCGCTCGGTTCGTCGACACAGGTGAGGTGCCTCAATCTTTTGGGACAATTCCAGTCCCTGAGGCAAGGCGATAGCTCCCCAGCGGAGTATTTGGGACGAGCGCAGTTACTGGTTGAAGAACTCGCCCTCGTCGGCCGGAACATGACGCTCACCGAACAGAATTTGTACGTGTTCAAGGGCCTGAGACTGGAGTTCCGGGCGATGGCGGCTTCACTAGCAGTCACCGGCACGCCGGTGTTGATTCCCCAACTTGCGGACTACCTACAGGCGCAACAATTCATCCATGCCGATGATGATTATCCGGCCGGGTCTCCGATGATGGTCGGTGCTGCACCTCAGGCTCTGTACGTCGGACGTGGCAGGGGACAGAACGGCGATGGAGGCCGGCACAACCGCGGCGGTCAGGGCCGTGGAGGAGGCCAGCGCGGCGGTGGCCGTGGTAGTCGCGGCCGAGGAGGCGGTGTGCCGTGTTGTCAGATCTACCGTGCCCAAGGGCACACAGCCGTCTACTGTAACCGCCGTTACACCGAAGCGCCACCATCTTAGGCGCATGTCGCCGTCGCAGGAGAGGCCGGCGCACTGGAGCCCACAGCTTGGTTACTGGAGACTGGCGCGTCAGCGCACGCTACTCACAATTCCGGTCTGATCACGCATCCCGAGGAGTATCACGGCGTGGATGTTCTTAGAGTGGGTAATGGCACATGTTTGGCAATCTCAAGTGTTGGTCATGCGTTAATCCCGTCTGTTTCAAAGTCTCTAAAATTATCTGATATCCTACATGTTCCTGAACTATCTGTGTCATTGTTATCTGTTAACCGGTTCACTAAAGACAATAATTGTTATTTTGAATTTCACCCTACGTTCTTTGTTGTGAAGGACTGCAAAACGCAGGCGGTGCCTCTTAAAGGACTTAGCTCCGGGGGCTTATACACACTGTCGGTCCCGAGGTCTCATTTCGCGTTTGTTACAGCCCGTGCGTCTTCCGTGGTCTGGCACCAGCGTCTCGGTCACCCTCACAGTCAAGCCCTCCAGCCTGTGTTACAGGACTGTCCGGTTGAGTCAAATAAATGTGTAGTTTCGAATTTGTATTCCTCATGTCAGCTTGGAAAATCATGTCGATTTCCTTTAGATAGAGTACCAAAATCTAGCAATAATGTATACATATATATATATGTATATATATATATACATATATATATATATATACATATATATATATATATATATATATATATATATATATAAATTTATATATATACATATATATATTTATATATATATATAAATTTATATTTGTTTTACATTTTATCTTAATTTATTGGAGAACTTGGAAAAATATCAAGTTAGGCATTTTGAATTTGAATATTCGAGTCGAATCAAATATATTCGAATAGTGTAGTCAAATCGAATATGAATAAATTTTAAGATTCAAATATTTAACGAATACGAATAGTCTTCAATATAGTTGAATTCGAATCAAATAGCAAGATATTTGGCTCAATTCAATTCGTTTATACCACCAATTTTAGGTCAGTGAACTCGTTTTCTCCAACAAAGACCAATTTTTTTTTTAATTGTTCAGCCTTCCTTTTAGGTAATTATACTCTAGCTATAGCACTTGCATGCGTTACTTTTACAGCACGTTTGGTTCACAGAATGAATTTTGAGGTAATAGGAATGCTATTCCATAAGGAATGTAATAGGCAAGGAATAAAATAGGAATTGTATTTTAATGTTTGGTTCGCGCAATCGCAGCCTACCAGTCTAAAGGGTGAAGACCTCCGCGGCTCTGCCTCTTTCTATCCGTCTCTGTACCTCCAACTTCAGTGAAGAGTGGACTTCCGGCCAAAGTTCTAAAAATTCTAAAAATTCTCCAACCTCTCTCTAAAAGAATCCAATCTTTCTCTCCAAGTCAAAAAGGGAACTTCCAAGCTTTGCATAGTCTTCCACCAAGATTCAAACTTTCCAACACTACAAGGCTAGGAATGGTAAGATGTATCCTTCCCTACCTTTTCCTTACAAGATTCCCCCATCTTTTCTCTAAATCTTTCTTCTACCTTGTGGGTTTTGGGGGTTTGTTGAAGATCTAGTGCTGGGTGAAGTGCTAGGTTGATCTAGAGGAGCTTTGGTCTTGCTTTGAGGTTGAAGAAGGTGTTCTTGGTCTACAAGAGGTTACCCATTCTACACCAAACCTATTTTCACTTGATAATAATGATTATTGGCTTCTATGAGACATTCCTGATGTGTTTGAGTGATTGATGCATGATCTTGGGATAATGCATTTTTAGGGCTTGTATTTAGGCTTCTTAAATACTTCTATTTGAGCTATTCATAGCTTCAAGTCATATCTTTGTTGTATGGAAGATTTGGGGTCGTTTGGACTTGAACTTAGCCTTGTAGAAGAACATGTTTGGTGATTGCGGGGAATTGTTCCC